CTCTCTCTCTCTTGCTCGCTCTTCATTGCTCTCTTCTCTCTCTTGCTCTCTCTCCCTCTTGCTCACTCTCTCTCGTGCTCTCTCTCTCTCTCTCTCTCTCTCTTGCTCCTCTCCTTGCTCTCTCTCTCTCTCTGTTTCTCTCTCTTGCTCTCTCTCTCTCTCTTGCTCTCTCTCTTGCTCTCTCTCTCTCCTCTCTCAGAGCTTTGCTCATTGCTTCTCGGGCACTCCTCTGCTCTCTCCTCTTTGCTCTCTCATACGTCCCCATTTTCCCTTCTAACTCTCAAACTACCTCACCTCTCCAACTCTAAAAAAAAAAAAAAAAAAAAAAAAAAAAAAAAAAACAAAAAAAAAATGGTGGGGACTCGCAGGACCCAAGGATCAGATGAGATGGTTCGGGTAGGGAGATGGAGGAGGAGGCCGTGGAAAAGGATGAACAATAGTGGAGAGAAAATTATGAGAGCTTTCTGAAAAATGAGAAAGAGCTCTCTGAGAAATTGGAAAAGGTGGTTGGTGAAGGGAGACAAAGAATTGGTAGGCACAAGTCGAAACTGCAGTAGCCAAGATAGGGGTCCTAGATGTGAGATAAATAGGCTGGAGCAGTTACAGGGCAGTGACCAGAGAAAGACACAGCATATGAAGCTGCGAGGCGAACAGGAAGGAAGGAATTATGAATTAATGTCTTAAAAGGGCCCCACTTCAATCTGCCAAGGAGGACCAAGGAGTGAACGGAAGATCAACTGGGTTGCAGATGGAGAGGGTGATAGGTCGAATGCTGAGGCACAAACAAGCTATCAAGAGCCACTGGAAAAATCAAGGGAAAACAGACCACAACACAGGCAGGATCCAGAAGCCACAGAGGGTGAGGCAATGTGAGGAATAAGGGCAAAATCAGTGTTTATTCCATGGCTTCAGAGAGAGAGGAAAGGACACCACTGATAAGAAGCAGGAAGAAAGGAGGAGATTGAGAAAACATAACAGAAATAGGTGAAGAGAGGGACGAGATTTGTAAATTTTCAGAGAAAGGGGGTTACTCGAAGGTGAGAAACCGACCAATCAAGCTGATACTCAGGACGGAAACAGTGCGAAACAGGACCTCCAAGAGAAACCACGATTGAAATACTCGGAAGAGATACAAGAGGGGTTCCTAGACAGAGACAGAACCAAATCAGAACGACAGCACTGAGGGAAGACAAAAAAGCGAAAGGAGCTAGGAAAAGAGACAAGAGGGACCACATAGGTCAGTCAGCAGGACAGAACAGCAAGGGCAACACACACACAACTACTCTCATAACACAACAACCTATCACACCATCCCAACACACCCCTACAATCCAACCCACGCCTCCACCCAACACCAAGCTAAGAAACCCACAGTATTCCACCAGGGCTCCCACCCTCACAGGCCCCCAAACCACAGTGTTGGAAAAGGAAACTGAAGGTATAGGACTCAAACGCTGATTGTGGAAAACAAATAAGTGGGAGGAGTGGCAAGAAAGAGTCAAAGAAGCATCACGCGGACACATAGCTCTCACAGAAACCAAGCTTACAGTATATAACAATGCCATCTTTCGCAACGGGATACCAAATCCTGAGGAACGACAGAGGGAATCAGGGTGGTGGAGGAGTGTGGCGTTGCTGATCTAAAATCGCTGGAATTTTATGAGCTGGGAGAAGAAGATATAGCGTAGAAGAAATGATTACATAGTGGGAACGCCTATCCACTCTGAGGTCCCATGGTGGAATAGGCAGTGATGTATAACCCACCCACAGAACAGCTGGAGGCCAAGGCAAGAGTAGAGGAACGACGAGAGCAATAGAGCGATGTGTTGACACACTGCTAGAGTTGGCCATAAGAGTCTCATGCATTGCAGGGCAAAGCTCCTGATCATGGGTGACTTTAACCACACGGAGATAGATTGGGAGAACTTGGACTCCACATGGGGGCCAAATACTTTTGGAGGCTAAGATGATGGAGTGGTACTGAAGAACTTCATGTACCAACACGTAAGGGACACAACAAGAAGAGGAGGAGAGGATGAACCAGCAGCTGGACTTCGTATTCACCTTCAGTAGTAGCAGATATCGAGGACATCAATATGAAAGACCCCTTGGGGCCAGTGACCATGTGGTTGTAGCTTCGAATACACAGTAGAGCTACAAGTGTCGGGAGAAGCAGGAAATGCCAGGACGAATGAAGCCAAACTACAAGAAAGGGGACTACACAGGAATGAGGAACAACCTGAACGGGGGTTCAGTGGACAGAAAACTGGCAGGGAACCATTAATGAGATGATTGGAATATGTAGTCAATAAAATGCAAGGAGGCTGAAGGAGAGGTTTGTACCCCAAGGGGTAACAGGAGTAATGAAAAAGACCAGGATGAGCCCATGGTTTACCCAAAGGTGCCGGGAGGGCAAAACCAAGAGTGCTTGGGAATGGTGAAAGAAAAAGTAAGGCAAAGGACCCAGGAGAATTAGGAGAACAGGTCCGTAGAGCCAGAAATGAATATGCACAGATAAGAAGTGAGGCCCAAAGACAGTATATGAAAATGACATAGCAGCGAAAGCCAAATCTGACCCAAACTGATGTACAGCCACATCAGGAGGAAAACAACAGTCAAGGACCAGGTAATCAGGCTAAGAAGGGAAGGAGGAAGACAACCGAAACCCGGAAAGTATGTGAAGACCACAACAAGAGATTCAAAAAAGTGTCAACAGAGTAAGACAGAAGGGAATCCAGAAAGACGGAGAGGTGGTGCACACCACCAAGTGCTGGACACAGTGCACACAACCGAGAAGAAGTGAAGACTCTGAGTGAGCTAGATACCTCAAAGGCAATGGCCAGTATAACATCTCCCCATGGGGTTATTGAGAGAGGGAGCGAGGCGCTATGTGTACCCCTAACAACAATATCAATACATCTATGAAACAGGGAGATTGCCTGAGGCATGGAAGACAGCAAATGCAGTCCCCAATCTTTAAAAAAGGAGACAGACATGAAGGCATTAAAACTACAGACAGTGTCACTGACATGAATGTATGCAAAAATCATGAGAAGATATCAGGAGAAGAGTGGTGGAACACTATAAAGGAATGATCTCATCACCAGCAGCCAGCATGGTTTCAGGGACGGGAATTCCCTGTGTCACAAAACCTACTGGAGTTCTATGACATTGGTGACAAGCAGTAAGACAAGAAGAGATGGGTGGGTGGATTGCATTTTCTTGGACTGCAAGAAAGCCGTTTGACACAGTTCCACACAAGAGATTAGGTGCAAAAACTGGAGGACCAAGCAGGGATAACAGGAAGCACTACAATGGATCAGGAATACTTGTCAGGAAACAGCAACGAGTCATGGTACGTGGCAGGTGACGAGTGGCACCTGTACCAGCGGGGGTCCCGCAGGGGTCAGTCCTAGGACCAGTGCTGTTTCTGGTATTTTGAACGAACCTGACGGAAGAATAGACTCTGAGGTGTCCCACTGTTTGCAGATGACGTGAAGTTATGAGAGAATACACTCGATCGAAGACCAGGCAGAACTAACAAAGGGATCCTGACAGGCTGCAGAACTGTCCAGCAATTGGCACCTGGAGTTCAATCCCACCAAGTGCAAAAGTCATGAAGATTGGGGAAGGGCAAAGAACAGGCCCGCAGACAGGAGTACAGTCCTAGGGGGTCAAGACTACAAACCTCACACAATGAAAAGATCTTGGGGTGAGTATCACACCAGGGGCACATCTCCTGAAGCGCACATCAACCAATAACTGCTGCTGCATATGGGCGCCCTAGCCAACGCTCAAACAGCATTCCGACATCTTAATAAGGAATCGTTCAGGACCCTGTAACACCGTATACGTTAGCCCATATTGAGTATGCGGCACCAGTTTGAACCACACCAAGCCAGCAGATAAAGAAACTAAGAAAGTGCAAAGGTTTGCAACAAGACTAGTCCCAAGCTAAGAGGTAGTCCTACGAGGAGAGTTAAGGAAATCAACCTGAACGACCACTGAGGGACAAGAGAAAGTGGGGTACAGATACTACATACAAAATAACTGAGAGAATTGACAAGGTGACAAAAACAGGATGTTCCAGAGATTGGACACAGTAACAAGAGGGACACAGTTGGAAGCTAAAGACACAGATGAATCACAGGGATGTTAGAATTAAATTTCTTCAGCCACAGAGTATCAGTAAGGGAATAGTTTGGTAGGAAGCGATGGTAGTGGAGCAGGATCCTACATAGCTTTCACAGAGTATGAAATGGTGTGAAAGTGGGGGGGGTGGAACGATAAAGCACACGGCTCAGGAGAGTGACCTATAGCGATCAGTGAAGAGGCGGGGCCAGGAGCTCGACCGACCCCCGGCAACCCAACTAGTGAGTACAACAAAGGTGAGTACACAGATATACAGGCAGACAGATACAGACAGGTTTATGTGCAACAGTGAAAACAAATAAGAGAGTTTGAGAGTAAGAGCCTTTCTTGCCACAATCTCTAGTGCAAGATACAGACTTCATCTTAGCCATGTGAAAATTACTGTCCAGTTAGTACAGTTAATACAGTATGATGCTGCTGATAGGGCAGGTTACTCAAACTGATGCTGCCTGCATGACGCATTGCCGCCGCGAGTATTGTCAAATATTGTACAGCCGTGTGCATCAGCCAGCCCAGCCCAGCTGCCAGATGCACGGTCGTAAGTCGAGTGGACGTATGTTGAGCAGGTCGTAAGTCGGATGGTAGGGTACGTGTTTTTTGCAAGGTGCATTGAGTAAATTATCTACTCATGAGGCCAGAACATACTAGGTGGAAGAAATACTGAAGCCATGCTCCAAATGACCTAAGACCCACCCAGAAAAATTACTTTTCTACTCTTTGATTATACCTATCAATGGTATGCAGATAATCCATGCAATCTTCATTGTCATTGCTGAAAAATTACACAAATTCTTTCTATTCTTTCTTCTATTTATGAGACTGTAGTAACTTACGTAACACTGATTAGCCACAGAAATTCCAGGAACTGCTTTTTCTGTAGTTCTCAATGCCATTGTAGAAACAGCATCTACTAGCATTGCTGTAAAACCTCCATGCAGAACTCCAATTCGATTAGTGTGCTCTTTTTCAATCCTCATTTCTGCTATGCACCTTCCCTTTCCACCAGACACAATACGTAGCTACAAAAATATGTAAAAAATATCATGATATGCAGATTCTATTTACAGTATATCATAATATACAAAAAAGTGGATATTAGTAAAATTAATGGAAGCTATTACACTTCTCAGGCTTTAATTTTCCTGCACACACATTAATAGCTTACTGAGATAAATTCCACAAAATCACACCATATACAATACAATTTTTATTTCTTGCAAGTTTACATTGAGATTCTTTAGTTACATTAATGAGTTGTAGGCAAAGAGAGCCACTATCTTGCCGTGGCATTATGGGCAGACTAAATTAATGGATTACAGACTACTTAATACTAGAGAAATTGATCAAAGTTTATTTCAGTTGTATATCTGTTTTTATTTAAAGCAGACAGTAAGTTAACTCAAGTTAAAATCTGGGGATATTACATTGGGACAATATGAAGGTATTCTGTAGGTTGTGTATATCAATAGTAAATATTTAAGTTATATTACTGGAATATAATACTGAGCGATGGTGAAAGTAATTTAGAGCATGAGAATGATGCAATATGGTGTAAGGCAGTATAGTTTTGTGCAGGTATTTATACTTCAATATAGTAGTATTAAGTTATGTATGAACTTTGCGTATTTAAATTTTGAAATGTTAAGATTTAGGTAATTGGGAGATCTTAATTTAAGTATTGAGTATTGAATATTTAGATTAGGTTGAGTAGGATGGGTTTATGCGAGAGTCCTTGAACTGATGTTCAACCAGTTTACTTTAGTATTTACTGGTAACGAGTTCCAAATTTTGGGGCCCTTTATGTGCATAGAGTTCTTACATAGTGTGGTGTGGACACGGGGTACATCAAAAAGTGATCTGTGTCTTGTGTTATGGTCGTGTGTCCTGTTAAGATTGGTGAAGAGAAGTTTGAGTGAAGGGTTTATGTTTGAGTGTAGTGTTCTATGTACGTAGTAGGCACAAGAATAAGAAGAGATGTTCTTTATGGTGAGTAGTTTTAGACTTTTGGTGGAGTATGCTGTCTGGAGTGGGAATTTATCATCATTCTGACTGTCGCCTTTTGCAGGGTTATTAGTGGTCTTAGGTGATTTAATGTTGTTGATCCCCATGCACAAATTCCATAGGTGAGATAAGGGTAGATGAGTGAGTGATACAGTGCAAGGAATGCTGATTGTGGAACATAATACCATATCTTTGATAGTATGCCTACTGTTTTAGAGATTTTCTTGGAAATTTGTTGTACAGTGGAACCTCGGGTTACAAATTTAATCTGTTCAGTGGACTTGTTCGTATCGTGATTTGTTCTTTGTTTGTTTGCTGGGTCAATTTTCCTCATTTAAATTAACTGAAATGCAATTAATTCATTCCAGCTGAATTCCTGCTCTCGGGAGGCATGACAAAATAACCCTAATATCAACTCTACGGCTTATTTATCTGTCACAATTCATCTAATATGACATAATAAACAATACAAATAACACAGAAACCTGATACACACTCTAGAATTAATAAACTATGTTTACCTGGAGTTTACCTGGAGGGAGTTCCAGGGGTCAACGCCCCCACGGCCAGGTCTGTGACCAGGCCTCCTGGTGGATCAGAGCCTGATCAACCAGGCTGTTACTGCTGGCTGCACGCAAACCAACGTACGAGCCACAGCCCGGCTGGTCAGGAACCGACTTTAGGTGCTTGTCCAGTGCCAGCTTGAAGACTGCCAGGGGTCTGTTGGTAATCCCCCTTATGTATGCTGGGAGGCAGTTGAACAGTCTCGGGCCCCTGACACTTATTGTATGGTCTCTTAACGTGCTAGTGACACCCCTGCTTTTCATTGGGGGGATGTTGCATCGTCTGCCAAGTCTTTTGCTTTCGTAGTGAGTGATTTTCGTGTGCAAGTTCGGTACTAGTCCCTCTAGGATTTTCCAGGTGTATATAATCATGTATCTCTCCCGCCTGCGTTCCAGGGAATACAGGTTTAGGAACCTCAAGCGCTCCCAGTAATTGAGGTGTTTTATCTCCGTTATGCGTGCCGTGAAGGTTCTCTGTACATTTTCTAGGTCAGCAATTTCACCTGCCTTAAAAGGTGCTGTTAGTGTGCAGCAATATTCCAGCCTAGATAGAACAAGTGACCTGAAGAGTGTCATCATGGGCTTGGCCTCCCTAGTTTTGAAGGTTCTCATTATCCATCCTGTCATTTTTCTAGCAGATGCGATTGATACAATGTTATGGTCCTTGAAGGTGAGATCCTCCGACATGATCACTCCCAGGTCTTTGACGTTGGTGTTTCGCTCTATTCTGTGGCCAGAATTTGTTTTGTACTCTGATGAAGATTTAATTTCCTCGTGTTTACCATATCTGAGTAATTTAAATTTCTCATCGTTGAACTTCATATTGTTTTCTGCAGCCCACTGAAAGATTTGGTTGATGTCCGCCTGGAGCCTTGCAGTGTCTGCAATGGAAGACACTGTCATGCAGATTCGGGTGTCATCTGCAAAGGAAGACACGGTGCTGTGGCTGACATCCTTGTCTATGTCGGATATTAGGATGAGGAACAAGATGGGAGCGAGTACTGTGCCTTGTGGAACAGAGCTTTTCACCGTAGCTGCCTCGGACTTTACTCTGTTGACGACTACTCTCTGTGTTCTGTTAGTGAGGAAATTATAGGTCCATCGACCGACTTTTCCTGTTATTCCTTTAGCACACATTTTGTGCGCTATTACGCCATGGTCACACTTGTCGAAGGCTTTTGCAAAGTCTTTTTGTCTTCTAGTGCATCTAGGACCTTGTCGTAGTGATCCAATAGTTGAGACAGACAGGAGCAACCTGTTCTAAACCCATGTTGCCCTGGGTTGTGTAACTGATGGGTTTCTAGATGTGTGGTGATCTTGCTTCTTAGGACCCTTTCAAAGATTTTTATGATATGGGATGTTAGTGCTATCGGTCTGTAGTTCTTTGCTGTTGCTTTACTGCCCTCTTTGTGGAGTGGGGCTATGTCTGTTGTTTTTAGTAACTGTGGGACGACCCCCGTGTCCATGCTCTCTCTCCACAGGATGGAAAAGGCTCGTGATAGGGGCTTCTTGCAGTTCTTGATGAACACGGAGTTCCACGAGTCTGGCCCTGGGGCAGAGTGCATGGGCATGTCATTTATCGCCTGTTCAAAGTCATTTGGCATCAGGATAACATCGGATAGGCTTGTGTTAACCAAATTCTGTGGCTCTCTCATAAAAAATTCATTTTGATCTTCGACTCTCAGTCTGGTTAGCGGCTTGCTAAAAACTGAGTCATATTGGGACATATTTCTTACAGCTAGACATGCTGAAATGGCATTCCCACAATGCACCACTGGCTCCCCGATTTTTTTATATGGTGCACACTGACCATGGAGACCCATTCTCTCACATGTGGGCCTACCAGCTTTCTCCTGCTTGATTTGAAGCCGCTAGAATTTATGCGTATAGATACATCAAACACGGTATCTCCTATGACGTATATATACGACCACGACAGTTAAAGGGTTAAGAACTGTTATGCACAATTTTTATGTTTATCTCACTACACTGCATATCTCTTGTGAGCTGTTTCTCTGTCAACCATGTCAACAGCAGTTTTCCATCTTTTCATTGACAGAGGTCCACTGCTTAGAAATTACTGTAATGCCCTTTGCTGGCACTATAGCCTTATAGATTCCTTCTGCTTTAGTATTGTACATATAGCAGAGGGGCTATGCTTGTACTCAACTCACTAAGTCCTCAACCCTAGTCTGTGCTTATTAATCATTTCTTGCTTTAATTCCATGCAAATCGTCCTCTTTTTCTTCTCGGTACTGTCTACTGCACTTGCTTTCTTGGGAGCCATGGCCAGAAGAAAGAAATCTGGCGAATTAACTGCACAAAATATATGGAAATCACGAGAATTCCTTGCACTGCGAGGGTAACTCTGTAAGCACATGTGCACTGGTGACCATTGTTTTGATTGACACTGCTGTCTGGTGGTGGTGTTGTCAAAGTAAATTATATGCAGTATGTACATACAGTTGTCCCTCATTTATCGTCGTTAATCCGTTCCTGGAAGTGCAACGATTATTGAAATTGACGATTTTTTAATCAATTTTCCCCATAAGAAATAATGTAAATATACAATTAATCCATTCCTAACACCCAGAAGTATTAAAACAAAAAAATTTTTTACATGAAATATAGATGTAGTACATAAACAATACAATGTGACATGATGAATGGATCATTAACCCCTTCAGGGTCCAAGGCCAAAATCTGAAGTGGTGCTCCAGTGTCCAAGAAATTTTGAAAAAAAAAAAAAAAATATTTTTTCTTACAGAATCAAAGAGTATATTTTTGTGAAGGTAATAAGACAAAAAAAAAAGTTTTTTCTGATCAGTACTTGCCGAGATACAGCGGTGGGAAGTTGACCCAAAATGACCGGGTGGTGGCAACATTAGTGACTTCCGCAAAATCCCATTTTTTTATTTTATGTTTTTTATACTTTTTTCTTTTCTTTTCTAATTTTTTTCTTTTTTCTAATAACATTTGTGGCCTGTGAGACCAGTATAATGTATATTGTATAAGTGTACACTCATTGTATTCTACACAATAACTGCACTAATTTGTTTATCATTATATTGCTTACAAAACTTGTTTATAAATTTATTGTAAACAAAATGATGAAAATATTAGTGCGGTTATTGTGTTGAATACAACGGTACCATATAGTATCATATGGTACAATGGTGCCATAGGGTGCAATGGTACCATATGGTACAATGGCATCATATGATACAATGGTACCATATGGCACATGATACAATGGTACCATATGATACAATGGTACCATATGGTAGAATGGCACCATTTGGTACAATGGTACCATATGATACAATGGTATCATATGGTGCAATGGTACCTTATGGTACCACATGGTGTAGTGGTACCATATGATGGAATGGTACCATATGGTACATTGTACCATACAGTACAATGATGCCATATGGTTCATTGTACCATATGGT